ACTCAGCAACTGGCGCCAAAGAGGCAGAAGCCAATCCAAGGGCCACTGTCGAGGCAAACCCTGCAAAAAAGTATGTGACCAGTGTGACATGTGACACTCACGTGGCAGAGGACAGCGACCCCTGCAAATCAATCTGTAGCTTTTCAAATCAATATCATAACTGCTGGATGAATGCAGTGCTGCAGGTTTTGCTAAACCTGGAGGTTGTGCAGCAGATATTATCATCTGATGGCGCTGAGTATGTTATAGAGCACTCAGTTACACCAGCATTTGGAGAACTGTTTATGGCAGCCTTCAAAAACCCAGGCAGGACTTTCAGTTCAGTAGACATCCACATGGTTTTGAGAGAACTGAGTGTGAAATTTCCGTTGTTGCGTTTCTCAATGCCCAATGACATATACGATATTTTAGAACCTGTGTGGCTGTGGCTCAATCAGTGGGATGTGCAATTGAATCTTATTTTTGAAGAATTAGTCAGGTGCGAGGAATGTGAGCTTGCCACATTGAATACCTCGAAACAAAACTCTTATATTTTACCACACGCTTATGAATATGACAGCATTTCATCTCTGTGGGAGCGAAGTATCATTTACAGGACAAATCTGGAAAGATGTGAGGCATGCGGCTTCAGAGTGTTGAAAACGCTAAATATAGTTTTCCCTGAAGTCTTAATCCTTATTGTGCCCCGGCAGGAAAACAGAGTGATACCAGCAAAGTCAGTGTTTCCATGTAAATCACTAGAAATGTTTTCGAATGACAGTACAACACAGACTGTTAGATACAGACTGTCCTCTGTCATCTGTTATGATTTTTGCCAAAGCAATGATATTGGACACACTTGGACATGTTTGTTCAAAAATAATGTCATCATCAAAGCTGATGACCTTTCTATATCTGTCCTTAAGTCTGACAACCGAGAAATTTTACTCACTGGTTATTTTTACTTCTATGAAAGATGCACATAAATACATAAATACATACATATAGGTCCCTCTATATAGTATGAAAACATTTTGTACCATTAATGCATTTACTGCAGAAAACGAGGTATGAACTGCTGAGTTGCTGAATGAAGTTATAAATGTATGGCGTGACGATGTCACAATGCCAAGCTCAAAAGGATGTGATAATGTCCAATGTTCCTTGCTTAATGGACCCTCTCTAAAAGCCCCCCACGGAACCACTCATGAAATCCAATTGCAGAAAAAGTTGAGTTGGGAAACGGAAAAAATGCAGGAATGTTCTGGAGGAGCTGAACGTTGGAAATGGAAAACTGAATTTGTCTGTTTTCTTACAGCAATTTGTTACAGTAGTGTAAACTCAGAGTTTGGTGACTCAGAGTTGAGTTAAACATTAGGTTTTTGGTTTCAAAAAGTCATCTCTGCTCAATTAAGATTCCATTGAGGACAATATTCCTGTTTTTATCAAGTGTTCTTTATTTCCTACAATATTGTTTATGTTCAGTTAAGTAAACAATAATCCACCTGTTGCACCTCACCCACCTTTAACTGATTTTCTACTAGTCACCTTTTTATTTGTGTCTCATTTCTAAATCGGATTGTGAGGGTTGGCCGAGTAGCCAGACATTTGAAAGAAGAGTTGCAGGCAAAGTTCAGCAGTCCAAGTGATGTTTATTTACAGCAATGAAGTCCTGTGCAGATATTTACATTGAAGAATACTATTGGCAAAAAGGAAACAATATCAACTTAGAATATTTTCCCCAAAATTGGAGAATACAAAAATAATCATTATAAAACAACTTAAAAGTTAACTTTCAGCTATACTACTGAAAAAAGGGCCAGAGGCAGGTGCTCAATTTAGTAACTGGATCTTTGTCTCTCAATCCTTGAACCTATTTCCTCTTCTTTGAACGGTTTATTGGTGGGTGGCAACCAAGTCAAGGTGCATTACCGCCATCTACTATGTCTTCTATCGTCGAGCCTCTCCAGCCCTCTGGTTTTTATAAAGATAGGATATACCTACACAGGAGACTTATCAATTACTTCCTGCAATTCATTCATAAGGACAGCCATATTTTAATACAATAGATTATCGCTTAGATATAGTATGCTCTTTTAAATAGGCCACTTTAGGCCTAATTCCACAACAGACCATTCCACCTAAGTTTTCGTACTTTATAAAGATAGTGAAATAAGATAGGTACAGGTACATCAACCACCAGGAATACAATAAATGTGGGTAAATAACAATATCATCAAATGTTCAGTTTATTAACCGGAACTCACTGTCCTCCTTAACCATAAAATATTTTAATTAAATGGAAGTTGTTTTTTGATAATTAATTCATATAATTGTAATGTATGTTATTCACCAAAATTAAATAAGCCATAATTATATTTCACAAATACTGTACAATAAAAAAAAAAGTATGAGGAAAAATAATTATATGGGATCTACATGTTAGTTCAATGTCTACAGGCTTTAGAAATATAAACTTTGAATAAAAGATGTGGAGCTATAATTCATATTGTTCATAATTTTTCATAATGTTCATATTGAAATGTAACAGTTCAATTGTTCTTTGGCCTATAATTGATCAGTCACTCCTAACAATTTCTACTGTCATAAAATTGCGCACAATTTGTCTCATAGGGCTTAAACAAGGTGTGACATCCTCTGCCCTTAACCCTCAACAAGAGCAAGGAAAAACTACTAAAAAATAACGTTGAAACCTCAGAGAGAGCCACATGTGAGGGATCCCTCTCCCAGGACAGACAGAAGTGCAATAGATGCCACGTGTAACATCCAAAAGATAAGAGTAAATACAGCATTGGTTTTAATCAATAGTTTGTAGCATGATGGAAGGTAAATGAAGTGAGGAATCATTGTCAGTAATGGTAGAGTATCTGAGGAGACATATTGTATATCAAGCAGTCTTGTTCTAGTCATAGTCCGCGATCAGCAGCCACTAAGATCAGGATCCACGATCATAATCCATCATCATGATCCACTGCCGCCATCAGGATCCACCATCAGCTCACCACCTTGATCATGGTCCACCACTACAATCAGATGCCAGCACGATATAGGATCCGCCATTACCATCACAATCAGTCAGCATGATACAAGATCCGCCAGTTTCGTGATCCACAATCATAATCCACGATGCGGCCGCAGTCGTGGCCCTGGGTCTGTGAGCGATAAGGCACAGAGACTCCGGGGAAGAAGTCAAGTCAGTAACATGTATTGATGAGACATTCATTTCTTTGATGCAATAAAGAAGGAGACAAGGAAAGAGAAGCTCCATGTGTCCCTCGACATTCTAGACCCATAGAAGCATAACTAAGAGCAGGTCAAAGACAAGCCTGGACCAGCTCTAACTATAAGCTTTATCATAAAGGAAGGTTTTAAGCCTACTCTTAAACGTAAAGAGGGTGTCTGCCTCCTGAACTGAAACTGGGAGATGATTCCACAAGAGAGGAGCCTGATAACTGAAAGCTCTGGCTCCTACTCTACTTTTCGATACTTTAGGGACAAAAAGTAAGTCTGAATTCTGTGAGTGCAGTAGGGTGATATGGTACTAGGAGCTCTTTAAGGTATGATGGTTTGGTGCGCATAGATGGCTCATCATTCATTTGCACAAATTGGAATCGATCTAACTATTCTAATCTCTGTAATACGATTTGATGATCAATAGTGTCAAATGCTGCACTAAGGTCTAACAGGACAAGGACAGACACAAACCCTTGATCTGAAGCTATTAGAAGGTCATTAGTGGGTTTTGCCAAGGCTGTCTCTGTGCTGTGACAAGCTCTAAACCCTGACTGAAAGTCTTCATATACATTAGTTTCCTAAAGAAACTCACACAGCTGATTGGCTACAACCTTCTCGAGGATTTTTGACAGGAAAGGGATGTTGGATATAGGTCTGTAGTTGACTAAAACCTCTGGGTCCAGGGTGGGTTTTTTGAGAAGGGGTTTGATTACAGCTATCTTAAAGGACTGTGGTACATATCCTGATGATAATGATAGATTGATTATATTCAGTAAAGTAATGTTAATCAGGTGTTGTAATGAACAAACCAAACAAACAAGAAGCTCAGTTAAACATTTTGAGAAATGGTATTTCTAGCAATTAGTAAGAAGAAATAATGA